CAGTTGCATCTCATCAGCATCTTCTCCCAGGCAACCAGTGACAGGACAAGAGGCCACAGTCTTAAGCTGCACCAGGGGAAGTTTAGACTAGGCATTAGAAAAACATTTTTCTAAACAGAAAGAGCAGTTCAAATTTGGAATGGGCTGCCCAGGGAGTTGGTGGAGTCACTGTCCCTGGAGGTGTTTAAAATAAAAATGTGGGGCTTAGTGCCATGGTTTAGTTGATAAGGTGTTGTTAGGCCATAGGTTGAACTTGACAATCTCAAAGGTCTTTTCCAACCTTGTTAATTCTGTGATTCTGTGTGCTTGAATCCATGGCATCTTACCAGGAAACCTGAAGGCTACATGCAGCTTCTGAGAACAGCTTTGAGTAGCTGCATTTGAGGAATCTAGAAAAGGACATTTCCCAGTGTAATTCACAGGATGTATCCCCTCTACTGTAATAGCAAGTCTGTGGCTTTGGTCCCAGCCACCAATTTTAGATGAAATCATAACATGGCAACAGAGCTGAGTGCTGTGGGGAAATTAAGGGTGTTAAAAATCAAAGTCTTTGCTTCTCTTTTTGACAGAAAGAGATCTCCATCATCATTTCTGTATTTTGCACCTGAAGAATATGAGAGGGGTGCTTTTCTCTAAAGATGCTCTATTAGTTTTCCACAGAATAAGCACCAATACTTTTGTGGCTCATTTAAGAGGTCAAAATTGTATGAATCACAGATTTGGAGTATTGACTAATTGCTGAACCAGCATGTTAAATGCAGGCAAACATGGCTTCCAGTGTAGATATGGATCTGGTGTCCAAGAGGATGGGTCTGTAAGGTTATGGACAAAGCTGTGGTCAACCTAAGCTTCTGGCTAGCCTTCCCTCAAAGAGAGTAGCCCTGATCTTGCTGCTTCATTACAAGCACACAAGTTAGTTGTCTGCTGCTTTCCTGCTTGGTTTTGATGCAAACTCTGCTTGCAGGATTAGTGAAACAGCATGAACTCCTGGCAGCTTCTTGAAGGCTCAGCATGTTCTTCCTGCCCCTTCTACAGCTCTCAAGCAAGTTTGACGGTGTTCTCACCTGTCTGAATTATTTGTTATTCTTTGCTGTATCCACACAAGATCTTTAACTCCTTCATCTGGTCCAAGATGGCACAGAAGCAGGACAAAAATGAGCTAGGTAATGGGGAAGAAAAGGTCACTGGGAAACCATTGCACCGAAGGCTAAAGCATGTGTGTAATTCTCAAGGAAATAAAGATCCTTGGGTCTAGATACAGAAGTAGAAAGAGATTGAAATTCAATCCCTACCTTTGCCTCTAGGCCTACCTACACATTTTCTTTGTTGGCAATGTCTGATTAAGAAGTTCCCACCCCCTCACCACGGATGAATGAATGAATTCAAATGAACTTGTCTTACCTGAAGTGTTCCTTTTTGCTTTGAAGTGAAGATGAAGAGAGGGCTCCTGTCTTGCCTATTCTGTGTTGCTCAGACCCATGGTCTGTCTTATCTCAGAAGACTATCAGTAAGTGGAATCATTTTAGTAATTCAGTTTGACATGATTCCACAAGCAGATGTAGCTGCACAAATTAAGGCTGATGAACTGAAGCATGTACATTAGAAAAAAAGGGAATCAGTTAAATGGAAACTTTGTAAGTGCTTTGTTATCAAGAAAACATGGATATTTAGATCTCTTTTTGTCACTTACTAAGGTCTCAGTGTTGTGGCTGTAAAGTGACATGAGGAATCAGCTTTTAATGTTTTGTCCTTTGATTTTACACCAAGTTCTTACAGGTTAAGTTAATAATTCTAGTAATTCTGCCCAAACAGAAATTAAACTTGTAAGACACTCTGATATCCTCATTTGTTGTCGGTTCTTTAGAGCTTAATTTGGCCTTTCCTCTTGAAACTAAGCTCTACCCCTTTTTTTACATATGCTGCTATTTTGTGTTTGCTTTGCTTTATTTTTAGCAAAATTGCAGCTGGCTCTTAGTTTGATGCACTGTCTGGTTTCTTCTGGTAAAATTCCAAGAAAGGAAGCCTTGGGGACAGAAAGCTACAGTCCTTCTAGTCTTTGAAGTATTTTTGCATGGATCTCACCATTCTGCAAGGGGACAGAAGCCTTTTAGTCCACATCAAAATTTCCAGTACTTGCTTTGCCTCTTAGCTTTACTAATTCTTCATCTTGTGGCCTACATAAAAGTGAGTTCTCCCAGACGCATGAACTTTCTTTTCCTTTCTCCATGGAGTACCAAAAGCAGGTAGATATATCTTGCTGACCCTGGTTATTGACACCAGTGAGCTGTGAACTCCAAAAGCAAGCACAGAAATAGTGCCAGAGAAGAATCTTCCACTGCTATTAAGTTGAAAAAAACCCCTGCGTAAGTGTCCCAAAATCAACTGTAAGATTTTATCTGTTCCTCAGGCTGTTGGTTTGTGTTTACTGCCTCAATAACATCTTAAAATTTTGCTTAATATGGTTTTATTCGTGATCAGCTAATGGACTAAGTGGACTTCTAGGGCTCATCTTCTTCAGGGACTGACTTCCCAAAGGTCTGCTGTTGTGGTGTAACCCTGCAATGAACACATGCAAGGCACCAAGCTCATGTTTGCAGGAGTACTAGTACTAGTACACATCATAAGGAATTTTCCACTGCTGGGGACTTTTCTCTGCCCTTTCTCTGTACATGCTTCATTTCAAAACATTGTTATCTGCATTAGCCAAAAATACTTCTCCCAAGGGTCAGTCTTTTTTCTTATTAGTGAGGTTTTATTTGATTTTTTTGCCTGCTCCACGCATGGTTCAGAGATCAGGAAGGAAATTGCATGGGGCTGAAACAGGCAGGTACATGCATCAGCAGTGGACTGTAGACAGTTGGTACCACTCATACCCACGTGGCCAGCTGGAGGGGCTGCCTGGTTTGAACAGATGTGGTTAATTCAGTCCTGGGTGGTTTGGTCACTTGGCTGGCACTCGCAATAACACCTAATGGATTGGCGAGGGCAGTCCGTGCTTGCATGGATTTTTCATGTGTAGCACAGAACAGTAGGTATTTCAAGATGCTTTGTTTTCTGGGTGTTTAAAGTACTTGGCTCATTTTTCTCCAAGCTTGACTGATTCTGGTTACCAGCCAGGCAGATCTTAAGGAAAGCTGTTGGCATCTGTGTGTCTGTATTACTGTTTGGAAGTCCATTCTTGAAGGTATTTCTTTGTCTTGGAGAGAGCAGGCAGAGCAGGAGCTTGGTCCAGATTTTGCTTAATAGGTGCAAGCAAATTTTCTGTTCTTGACCATCCACTTTTGGCTCCTGCACAGAGAAGGTTAACAGCACTAGCCCTGCAAGGTCCTTAGAAGTAGTCTCAGAAAATGCAGGGTCTGAAAGACTGCAGGGAAAAAAATACATGGAGCACTTTTCCCGTAACAAGAAACGAACCATCCTTCTCCAGCTCTGACTTCATGGCATCATCTTGCTATCCTCCTTACCCTTGTCCTTTTCTTCCCATGCATCAAAGCACAGGGTATGCCTGGTGAAGACTCATCCCTGCCAGGGACCTCCCACGTGCAAATGGAAACCCACACTTGTACAATTAAAACAGATCAGCTGGCATGCAGTTGCTTAATGAGTAAGTAAGTCAATTAGTCCCCCTTCCACATTAAATTGATTGTCCAGGCCATGCGACTGCCTGGCCACCCAATAAATTTCCTGTTCAATGGCTGCCAGAGCCTCATGCAAACCACCTCTTCCCTCAGAGCAACATGAATGGCTGCATCTTTCCCTGACATCTGCAGCACTGTGGGAACCAAGATTATTGCCTCTCAGTGACTCCTGAATAGACAACCTTAGTTTAACAAGTAAAGCAGAGAGGCTGTGTTTGATTGCCTTGGAAACACAGAAAGCTAAGCTGTTTTCACTCTTCTCTCTCATTCTTTTCCTCCAGTTTGCTCGCTAAATGACATCCTGTGCAATACTTGTACACCTCACTGTCTGCAGCTAACAGGTGGAATAATCTGACCTCTGTAAACAATTATTTTGCTGGTGCACAGGAGCACAGACTGGCTCACAGAGCTTTGGTAACTGTGCAAGGAGAAGAGAAGCAGAAGCAGCAAGAATTATTTTAGCCTGTCAAGTCATCAGACTTGATACATAGGGAAAATCTGCTGGGCAAAAAAACATGATTTAACATACCAAATTTTCTACACATAACTTCATTTAAAATGCAAAAGAAAGATTGGTCTCTCATTATCATGCATGGAAGAGAGGGAAAAAGAAACAAGCCTCTAACAGAGCAAGGCTGAATGAGCCTGTGACTGCACAACTGCTGATGTGGACAGGCAGCTGTGCAGGATATATGTGCAACCTCTATACACAGGCACACGACCATGTATGTCTAACTGACACATATATAAATGTATGGTAACCACATCTCTGCATGTGTTGACTTTCAAATGAATGTGTTATGAGTGCATACACTCAGACCAGGTGTAGCATGAACATTTTCAACCTGTTCATATGTCATCAGAGCTGTGGAAGCTGCTGCCATTGCCACTGCCCCACCGGTATGCTCAGGAGCATACAACTCATTTAATGTGTGTGATCACACCCTGGGTGTGCACTGTGGGAAATGCTTTTCACAGGATGCTGATTGTGGTGAGACCCTAAAGCAGTCATTTGCCTGTTTCCTTAACTCCCTAGTCTTTTTCCCATTTGCACAAACCTGGAGATGGAAACTTCGTTCTATCAATCACAAACCAGAGGTACTTTTCTGAAAATACACAATATCTGCAGTTTATTTTTCAGTTTGGTATGGGGGGGCAGGGGTTGTTCAAGCACAGACTTTTTTCTTAGACATGCATTCCATGGACAACTCAGGGCAGAGAGTCTCTAGTCCTTCACCAGCCGGTAGATGTGATGTTGGGCACCGTGGTCACTAGTTGATACTTCAAAAACATATGCTATGCACAGCAAGGTCTCCTGTGTGTCCCTGTTTGTCACAACCTAGACAGAAAAGGAGAAGAAGCTGAAATGGCAACTGCTATTTCTCTGCTTACATATTCCAACACATTTAACATAAAGTAGAAAGTCAGTAATAGACAAAGAACAGAGAAGTGCAGGATTGATACACAACTTGGCCCACACCACCAAAGCACTTCTGCAGCCTCAGAACTACAGTGCAGCAGAGACAGGGAGGTGAGCAGAGTCCACTGTGAGGAAAAGTCCACTGTGACCAAGCAGTGATCACATCAGTGGAAGCAAGTCCACCAGGTTCTCTACTTCCCACCCCTGGTGTTGCAGATTTCAGCAGAGGGAAAGTGTTTCAGAAAAAAAAGCTCTTTTTGCTCTGTTTTTTGAGAGAGAGGCCCTCCCCTGTGGCACACCCACTCCTGTTCACACATACATTGATATATCACAACCACAGACAGTTGTTTTCCTTTATCTGCTCCTACTTGTCAATGGTAGACACAGAACACGAGGATTATAGAGTATAGCACCTTTTACAGGAGACTTACAGATTTGACTCCATTACACTTCCCATTCCGTACACTGAAGGTGTTGGGAGAAGGATGGCTGCTACACTCACGCATTCCTACAGAAGCTGCTTCTTTTCTCCCATTTTATTTTCTACGGCCCCTCAGGACCCTTAGCATCTCTACAACGTGACTCTGTCAGCAGCATGGTGAAGAAGTGCTGTCCTAGTTTCTGCAGCATGCACTATGTAGCAGAGACAAGAGAAATATTGCTCTCAGAACTCCTAGCTCAGCTTCCCTCTCTCTGTCACTGTACAACTTTGCACATTCTTGTCACCTGAGTTTGTACCATAGATAAAGTTCTCTCCTGCTGGAGGAGACAGATTTTTATCAACAGTAGCACAAACTCAACGGCAGAAGAAAACCATCCCAGCTGGAGGCTTGAACTGTAACAAAACCCAATTGTTCTTGTGAAAACAGGAAGAAAATAGCTGTTTTCAAACTTGCTTATTAATTTTAGCAGTCTGATTTTGGTCTATTCTGTTTCCTTTTTTTACTTCATGATTTGATTTGCAGTTGAAGTCCTTTCTCCTGCAAGATGTGGTGAGTTATACACATTCAGGTGTGCTAAGGCACTGAGGCCTTTTCTAAAAAATGGGCTCTTGAAATCTTGAGAGTTCTAGATCCAGAGAAATGGGGGGAGTGGAAAATACTCGGGCTGCTGCTCAGGGAGCACCACTTTCATCTTGCACAGGACTGCAAGGTAGTGCACATGGGACATGCCTTCAGTGCCAGAAGATAAGGGAAGGATGTGAGACTTCTCAAAACATAAAGCCTCTGAGGAAGTGTAACTATGTGACAGCTTTTTTTATTAGAATTTATAGGTAATGCTGGCCTGATTGAGGAATGAAACATGCAGAAGGCAGCTACAATGTTCCCCAGTATGGATTACAGCACACAGGTCTTACATCTCTCTGTCTCTGTCCCTTCTCATGCTTTTGCTCATGTAAAAGAACTCTCAGCATTTACAGTCCTAATTTCTTCCAAATGTTTAAGATCTTAATACAAACATGAAAGAGTAAGTTTCTTAATGCCCTGTGATGTATATTATTAACCTTGTGTTTTATAGCTGATGTGTCCAAGCCACAGAGCAGAGAAATGAGTTGCCTGCAGTTACCCAAGATCTTCAGAGAATGGAATGAAAACCACTTTGATTTCCAGTCTTTCATACAGCCACCAGCATCTCTTCTACTTACTCAGCTTCATGTTCTCTGGGCAAAGATCTGTGATGCCTTTTACAGAGGCCAACACAGAATTCAGTCAATTAGAAAAATCCACCTTTTAAGCTGTCTGCATTCTTCCCAAATTTAGGCTGCAGCTGAGCCTGGAAAGTCTCCCGCTACAACAAAACATTAATGCAAATCTAATTGCTGTAGCCTTGTAATCTTGACCTACCTAGAGGCTGTAGTAATTCAGAAAGTGTCACAGAGCTTCCCCACAACATCCCCCTTCCTTTGCATGTCTCCATATTCTGTACAGGTCCCAGATGGTACGGAGGAAACTATTTTCTTTCCCCCCTAATATGGTCAGTGAAGAACTCCTCCCACAGAAAAATGTTATAGCCACTCAACAGTGCCCTTGTGGGTTTTTTACATTGCCAGGGCAATGGCCAGGGCACAGAAAGGACTTCAATATATGTGAAACAGTGGAATGAGCATTTCCTTCACTTACTTTTACATCATTCCCCTTCCTTTGTCTCTCTGCCTCATGAGCTCTCCCTTTATTTTTCTTTTTTATCTCTCCGTTACCCAGGTCTCTCAAATTCTTTTGTTGCTCCTCTGCATGAGTTACTGTCTCTAGAGCTCCATAAATGGTCGTGAAGTGCAATACACATGAAAGTCACTAAGTTCAATTAGATGCTGAGCTATAAAAGGAAATCTGCTTTGACTCTCAACGGTGAACTCCTGCATGGTGCTTACATGTTGCCAAGTTGCAATGAAAACAGTTGAAATTCCCACCTGTAAGATAGTGAAGTTCTCCAGCACACTGTTCATCATGTACTTCTCGGGAAGGTGCTTGAGTTTATGGATGAAGTTGATCATGTATTCGCAGAGAGGGGAGCGGTGGATGCGGTAGGAATAGTGTCCGTTTTCGTAGCGTGCATACTCTGTCTGCAAGACAAAAAAAGAAAAAAAGGGCACATGGGGCTATGCTGGCACACCAGGGACACTGTCACAAAAAAGGACTCAGAACAGAAAAATTACAGTGGCAACTTTAAATAAATTGATGAGCAGTGACCACAGCACTTTGCATCAAGGTCAGTCCCCTTGAGCCCTCCAATTTCTTTGGCTTGATTTCTTGTTTTCTTTAGAATGGTGGGTTCCAGCTTCTGAGCAGCAAACCCTCAAGGCACTGTGAAAGGTAACTAAGAGAAGCAGACCAATTGACACCTACAGTACCGTCTGCATCTCTACTGGCAAAATACTAGGTGTGAATAAACTGAAAAAATTAATAACTACTGCTTTAGCAAGACCAGGAAGTAATGCTAGTAATAGTATGCTCTGGATGCTTTATAGCTAAAAAAGACTAAAGCCTTCTGGTACCTGTGTGAGAGAACACAGAATTTCTGACTCCCCCTTAGGAAAGGATCTGGCCAATGATACACAGAGGGGGTTTTCTGCTCACATTCACACCTTACCTCATGTATATTTTATCTGCCTTTGAAGAGAAACTGAGGCCATATTCTATGATTTCACAGCAGACCCTAAAATGCCTGTAACATTCTTCCACCCCAGAAGCTTGGTCTGCTTTCATGCATACCATGACACCTCCCTCTAGCCCCTCTATCACATCTAGAAATACGGAACCCAACTTCAGGCATGTCTATTATGTGACTGGAGATGGATTTTGGGGAAGCATGCACCTTGAACTGACTGCTCATATGAGAACAGCTGGTGTTCTGCACATAGATGCTCTTCTGCATCTCAAAGTTCCTTGAGAAACAGGGTAGCAAGGGGCATGTCAAAACAGTTGTCTTAGCAGCTGAATGTGGCAACAAAAAGAATTTCTTCAATGCCAGTTATATGCATAACCCAGTTATTTGCAGTTCCTGTAATGCTCAAGCTGTAAGTGTGTAAGCTCTAGGTTTAATAAAACCGTAAGATTATAGTCTGTAAATTATTACAGTCAAATTAATAGCTATAGTCTATAACTGATCTGTTTAAAAACACTGATTAGAGTGAGGTGTTGCTTATATATTTTCACTTTTCTGGACTGAAAAACACATCTATGTTTTTTTCCAAAAAAAAATCCTGTTTTTTCCCAAAAAACCACAGAGAATTGGCAGAGCCAAGAGTGGTACATATTTACATGTCCTCCAGAAACTGAGATTTAAGGGGGAAAGTAGCAAACACTAGCAAATCTTCAGTGAAATGCCTAAGACAAGGCCATTTTGCAGGCTGACTGATCTTAAATATATGGCATCCATCTCTCTGACAAGAAACACGAGATATATTTTGCCTTAGATAAAAAGGCAGGATGCAAATAGTGACAAAACAGCAGCCAGAGGTCTTGCACCTAGGTGTCTGCTCCTTACCTCTACTTTCTCTACCACCTGCTTTCCAAAGGAACATACTTTGGTGGAACAGGTGATGACCATGTTTTCTGGACTTTCATACTGGCTGGAAACACCATAGAAAGATCTGGATTCATCTTCAATATTGGTATTCAAATCAGCCTGCAAAAGTAAAGAACAAAAAAAATTTCAGATGGTTATCAATAGATGGTTGTGGCATTTTCTCACCATTACCTCACATAGCCAAGATAGTAAAGTACTGGGAGCGTCCCCAGCTCCTTAAGCAGACAAATGTGCATTGGACAAGCAGGAGAAATCTGAAGATTATTGAATAAAATCCTATTTCCACTTCAGAAAATGGTGTGGATTTGCATACACATGTATACACATGCATATCTGGTGGAGTATCCTCCTAACATTAAAAACATATGACACAGCTTGAAGGTGCTCATAAGTCATGTGGAGAGCAGACTGCAGAGACAGAGCAGTGCAACAGATGGGCTAGACTGGGCTGGCTCAGCAAGGAAGGAAAATAATTGAAAAGCAACAGTAATAATGTTTTTCCACCTTTGGAATGTAGGTAAGGGAAAAGCAACAGCAGGGAAAAGGAATGTGTGAGTACACACACACATCAGGCTCAGGTGCTATGAATGTAAATAGACAGTACGCGACATAAGGAATGTAGGTTACTGATGGATCCTGCCCAGTTACACCTGAATTCAAACCCATCCTCAGCAGCAGCCACAGTTCTCAAATGTGGGTGCCTGAGGCTGGCCAACTGAAGCTGCCTGCTGGCATGTAACTCCTAAAAATCCTGGCTGTCTGAAGCTTCCACCAGGGGTCATTCCAACCGCAGTTATGAAACAAGTGGCGGTTCCCTTAAGCTCCAGAAAGGCTACGGCTGTGTGGGAATGCCCAGCTCAGCTTCCTCCCCTTCAAAACTGAAAGGGCAGAGCTTCTCTGTGCTCCACAAGTCCAGGTGCTAACTTACATCAGTGTAAAAGCAAGGATCAGCTCCCACAGGCTGCTCCAGAGCATTTTATTCCTCCAGCTGAGCCAAGGGAAGAGGAAACTGAAGAAAGTGTGTTCCCGCTAGAGCGGACACAGTGTGACTAGGACAGTATTAGATGCCATTCTAGCAGGGTTTTCTTAACCACTGTCAGTGAAGAGTTTTTTATTTGAGATTTAGAGCAGCACTAAGGACAAGAAATGTGGTGAAACTGGACCACCACAATAATGAATGTCCCTCTTTCTTTGCCATGCAAAATACCTGTCTCTTATCTGCCATAAGATAATAAATACCGTTAGCTTAGTTGTCTTAAGGAGCAACTTCACAAAAGTTTAGGTCAGTCTAGAAAGTGACAGGTTTTTTCCCCTTCTGTAAACACATGAGCTTGCTGCTGCTTTTGTGGCACCAAAGATAAGGGCACAAAGACTGCCTATTTTCATAGCAACACATACTCAGGATGGCTTGAGTCTCTTGAGAAACTGCTCCTCGGAGTTGTAGTAGTTTGATGATTGCCAGGCTGGTCCTGACCCCAAGAGAGCAGTCTCACTCTTCCAGAGCAGTTTGTGCTTCCCCATTCCTGCTGTACTGACACACATTTCTGTAGCTCTATTACAAGGCTCACTGAGGAATTGCTCAGTTAGTTCTCAGTGGGATCAGTTCCCTGGCCTGATTCAGAAACACTTGCGTGTGTTCAAACAAGGAATGTGTGTTGGGACGATGGGTGGCAAAAGGGATAACAGAAGGCAGGACAGCTTATTCTAGTGAATTATTATGGCCATGCTGAAGACCTCAGTATTAAGTAACTGTAATTATGCAGCTACTTTCTTTGTATCACAAATGTACCTGTATTAGAGAACAGCAGTATTACTCCAATCTGGTTTTGGTTTTTATTAAGTTACTGTAATACCGTATTTTAATACTGTAATACTCACTTCCATGTCAATGCAACTAACCGTATTCTTTATTTCACTCCCACTCCAACTGTCTGAATAAAGATTAATTTCTTCCCTTGTCCAGAGAGGAACTAGACTTAGGAGTCCTTCACAGTATTTTTCAGCTATTTCCCTTGGGAGTGATAAACACAATGTATGGACCCGATTCCGCTCTTCCAAAGAAATTGTCCCATTAAGTCAAAAAGAACAAAGGGTCAAGGCTACAGAGGCTTGGTCAGGCCACTTCTACATAAACACAGCAGAGGCTCTCACTGCAGAACCAGATAAACATTTTCAGGGTCTCACTAATAAGGTTGCATTCTCTGAAAGACTCGCTGGTAAAATTAAAAAATAAATGCACTCGATATGAAGCAAAGCAGAAAGGTGCTAGTTCCACCTAATGAGAAAAGCTTCACTAGCCATAAGAGGCCACTCTAAGTGTATCCACAGTTTGACAAGCCTCCCATCAGAAGGCTGGAGTAGAACTTCACAGCCAATTAACATCTAATTAATCATTAATGGCAAAACTATGGTAATACTGTTTGAATTAAGGAGTCATCACCATTCACTGGTTATGTACAATCAGGCTCCTGGAAGCCCTGTTGCAGTGGATCAGTGGAATCACTTTGGAGCTCCCTCACATTTCACTGCACTTTTTATTCTAAAGCTTGTCCCATATTATGGGCTAGGACGGTCACACATGGAGTGATCAGTCACCAAGAGCAGTGTACCCACCTCCTGTCACCTTTGCAGATCTATAAACATACATACATGGAATTTCAGCAACTCCAGGGGATGACAGTAGCAGTTTGCTGAGGGCTTCAGTTCATGTTTGCAGGAGAATGAAACTGGAGTACCCCAGACACTGCTGGCCTTACAGTTACAGCTTTTTCACTTATTTACAGCTGCTGGTTCCCACCTTCTCAAGGAAGGCACTGCCCCCATACCAGAGATTATTTAGCACACACATATCTGCTTTTGAACTATTTGCAACCTGGTTTATACATGTGAACTGAGTGTACATGAATACAAGACCAAGGAACAACTGAGGAGTGGAACTCCAATCTCTTAGCTTTCCCTGCTGTGGAGATAATTACCTCCTGAAGGAAGACAAAGCAGAAAATTGAGGAAGAACACCATAATCAGCCACAGCCAAATTAACTTCCAAATGTCAACTGGATACTGGGGTAACTCATGAAAGGGTGCAGTTAAACTTCTCAGGATTGCATGAGGACAAGACCATGATGACCAAAAGAGCTACTGCATTTAGCTTAACATCTAAAAACACTATCTATGGCCTTCATGCCTGGATTCCTATGAGCTCCTCACAACACCTACACCATCAGGACGACACTACTTCTCTAAAGAAAACCTTGTGTCAAAGCACATGAAGTGCTGGAGGAGCAAGTACCTGAGGTGAGTAGAGACAGGTCTGACTTACTGTGTCTAGTACATTCCACCCCAAAAATATGCCAGGGCATAATAGTGACTATGATGCAAAAGAAATTCATCTTCCCAAAACTCCATCAAGCAAGAGGCCTTATCTTCACTTTATAGTATGGGAATGCTTAGAATTTTTTAATATGTAACTGGATGTGACTAGAACCCAGGTGCCTCAACTCCTCTCTGGCAAATGCCCTAGTATGTCCAACAACAAATGAGATGAGTCTTAAATACATTCCTTACCCCAACTTAGGCAGCCAAAGGAGACATAGGCAGGATTTAGGAAAGTCTCACTGAGGGGGCCGAGCTGCCTGCCCCCCAGGCTCCTACTTGCCAGTGCTAGAACAGGGTGGGACTGCGGGGGCAGCAGCAGCATTCAGGCTGTTGGGTGGTGTCCAGCATTCAAACAGCTGTTCTCAAGTCTCTTTTACAGGCAAAGGTAGAAGATCAAATAAACAAGGAATATTACGAGCTAAATCTGAGTTATGAGCCACCAACTGGCCCATACTACTTTATCTGACAAAGTCAGGGTTCTTGCTTTCTGTCCAAGAAGTTCCAGATGCAAAAACCTGTGCACACTCTGGCATAGCAGAAATCTGATGTGTCTGGGATGTGTTCAACTTGCTGTGCAAGCTGAGCACAGATGACACACTGGTCCATAGCTTGCCTGATGACTTCCCAACATGCTGAAACTAGTCTCTGAGATATCTGTGATGTAGCACATCTCAGGTATTCACAGACTGCATGCAAAAGACAATCTGCCTGCTTGGGGGGTAACATCTGAGATTTCCTCCTTTCCAGAGAAGTAAGCAGAATATTTTATTACCTACAAGACAAGATTTCTAGATGGAAGAGAAAGGATTTGTTCCAGGAAAAGCATTGTAGCCCTCCACACGCTAATATGCTACTCTTTTGAAAATTCCTCAGTCTTTCAATGTGCCTTTTGCTGCCAATAATCTCTACACTGTTGAACACTGTGGGGGACAACTTTGGTGGAAGAAGTGGCATTGGCAGAGTCCCCTTACATAAGGCAGCAACTGGAGGTGGTGCTGGTGATGGCAGGTGAAATTAATGTGTGCAAAAATCATAAAATTCTCTGTTTCTAGCTGCTGTCTTGTTTGCTGCCTCAGGAGTACCAAGAACAGAATGCATGCAGAGACCAAATTGCCATTCCTTGCTCTCCAGGCAGTTTCATGATTGAAAGCATCCAGTGGGCAAGGCAGGGTGCTGAGGGCAATTTGCACTGCTGCTGTTTTGACTGAATTTGCTTGTGACAGGAGAGAAGCCAAGTGCAGGACAGAATTTTCCAGCCCACCCCTTCAGCACTTTCCCACAAAAGTATATTCCATTTAGCTGAAAGAAGACGCTCAGTGATTTAACTGCCTATCACCAAGAAGAAATTACTACATACATTCTTCACAGGCAGGACAGGGCTCCCAAGAAATTCCCCTGGTTCCTGTCTTTGCAGATGTCTGCTCTGTGCAAGTACTACCTGTCCTGAATTCCTGGTTTGAATTCTCTGTCTTCCACACAGAGTCTCACAACTTCTGAAAGCCCCAAGATGCAACTGCACCATTACACTAACGTGCAAAGCCCTGAGAACGCCTCTTCCCCAAACTATTAATAACGATCCATATAGGAGGAGTTCATGGGGAGAAGCAAGGAACAGGTGGCAGAGATAATATTAGCCTGGAAAAGAGCAGGGCTGCCACTGCCCATGTGTTGGGAGGCTGATGTCTCACATTCATTGTCGTGTGCTAGAATGCACTTGGAGCACAGAGAAATGTCACACAGATGTCATACACAACTTGCCAACCCAAGTCCAAAAATCAGTTCATTGTACCAAATTGCCAATGCCAAAATCAAAGAAGAATTGCAAACACTGCAACACTGCTTATGTTTCAAACTCATCAACTTTTAACTCTTAGATGTTGTATTGATCATTTAAAGCACCTTTAAACAAATGTAAACGTCTCTTTCTCTGTCTTACTAGATCCTCAGTGCTACCACTGAGGTCAAGAAACCTCAATCTGATGTTTAGAGTTAAGCCTCTGGAACAGGACAGATCATCTGGTATATTCAGTGGTTACTGTAGCAATGGCAGGTTCATGCCTCAGGTTCTTGAAGCCTAAAACTGCAGACATACAACCCAATTTACTCATTCATTGGTTTCTTTAAAGTCTTTGTCACCTCTGCAAAATCAATCATATCTTCATGTCTCAACACATCCCTTCAAGTATTCAATTCTACTCACTATTTTATCCTAAAACGATGCTATAAATTCAACAGTGTAGTAACTGCTTTATCCAATACATCTTTGAACATCAACAGTGTATTTTTATAGTTGTCCAGAGCTACCAGGCTGCAAAATGAAAAAGCACCCTAGCACATACTGCCACAAAAGTATAAAAATGCAGAGGGATATAAAAATTTCTGCTGAAATCTATTTTTTTCCTTATTTGTTTTAATCATATTGCCTTATCTGTAAAAAGTGTTTGCTTGTTTATTTCCTTCTTAAAAGTCTTAGAAGCTTCCATTTAATTAATGACTTGACTTGTAAACTTTGCCTATTTCTAAGTGACAAGCTGTAATGTTGCCACTAATAAAACCTGATGTTAACTCCAGATGGGATTCAACAATGCAAGGGTACCAAAAAAAGAATCAGGCAGTCAAAATATTAAACCAAGCCTAGAAATATTTCTGCCTTTATAAAGTTGCAGAGCCCCACAACATTGTGCACACCCTGGAGTAAAGACATTTCGAATCCTATGTCACATCTCTTTAATCAAGCCAAATTCCAGTGAGCTGATACTCTCTGAACACCAGAACCTCATATGGGAAGAGAAAGCCCAACTTGATGACATGCCACCATCTAAATCTTTCAAGATCCTGATAGAGGTTGGTCTGATATGGTGCATAGGGCATGTTTATACTTGTGATATTAAAAACCAAGTTATCACAATCCTCAAACTGAACCACAAAAGCAGAATAGCACACTGTCAATTTTGATGAATAAAATCACAGTCGCACCAGATCACAATTTCATGATTTCTCTGTTGTCAAGTCAAGGAGTTCAAAAGTGTTTCATTCTCTCTATGTAACATCTCCCTCTAAGCTCTTCCTTTTGGTTCTTGAAACTTCCAAAGCACAAAAGACAATCAACACCTTTCAAAGGGGTACCCTGTCAAAGGATAAGCTTCTCAGCAAGGTGCTGTTTTCTCTCCCATTCAGAACAGAGCTGATCTTTTACCTTTTGTTTGGAGCACGCCAGGCAGACTTTGTTGTACTTTGCCAGGAGTTAATCCCATGAAGGGGCCAGCTCAGTAGCACAGACTGCAGGTAATAAAAACACTTGTCCCCAAAAATCAACAGCATCAACGCTTTAGGCACAGAAACTTGAGAAGAAGACTCCCAGACAACATTGTCCAACTCATTTCTGGAAAGACTAGGCTTGAGACAACTGGGAAGTTGCATCTCAAGGCACTTAACTCTTCCTTCTGAAAGCACCAGTCAGGAGGCTTTCTAGCATCACTTTGTATGAAGGGAATGAGATATAAAAGCTCATTTTTCATCATCTAACTCTGACCTGTGGTTGAATTATGTGGTAAATTCAAGGCCAAAGGCTCCAGATCCCATTACACATTCCCTCAGCCATCTACTGTAAAACTGCCCTGAGCTACTATTATTTTTAATTTTGTAATTCTTATGATAATATCGATCACCAAAGCTATTTTGTTTGTACCTTGAAGCACAATGGCACAGTTTTTGCAAATTTTATTCAAATCACAAAAATCCAAATTGAGTGAATAAGCTTTTGCCAGGCTGATTTCTGCCAATTTACCAGAAGTCATTTCAGTAATATATTATCAGCATAATCCAATTTCATTATATGTTTCTCTTATCTTTTGCTCTGCCAGCAGTAAGTATGCATCTGTAAATTTTTAGTACTTGGATAACAAAATGCAGCTATAGAGGCAGGAGAAGAGATGGAAAAGTATTGCTTCTGACTGAGGAGTTACACAACACTGAGAGAAGTGAAAGCATAAGAGTATGCAGAGAATAATTTCCTCTGAATTCTTTACTTATACATAGATAAAATTCTAGACAGTCCAAGTCTCCATTAGCAAATCTACAGACAATAGTCAAGAACAACTCTACAGAGGGACAATGTGAAAGACACATCCTGCTGCAGGCCAGAAAATGTGCCTTGTGGGGTCAAGGAAAGACCTTGTAAAGTCAAGAAAAGTGACAGTTGTGGCTGTATTAAGCTGCCTACGCAGGGAGAAATTTGTTGGGAGGCAGCAGTTTTCTAACAGCCAGTGAGGTCACAGCTTTTAAAGTGGGAAACTTCACAGCAAATGGGTACCCTACAAAAGGCTCTTCACTTACCCAGAATTTGACAAGGAAGAAGGCATTAGCTGGCCCCCTTTCAAAGAGCTCCTTCAGGCCCCCTTTCTTCTCAGGGAACTTGTCATAGATCTGCCGGATATCCACTGCCTCGAGGTAGGGGTCATTGTAGCTGGGGCTTGACTGCCCAATGTGCACAAACAGGTGTTTGTTATACTGCAAAAACAGGGAAAACAAGGAACTAGAAAATTCTTCAGTACCATTCAGTACATACTGAACATCCATTGTCTTTCACAGAAGAATACTGGAAGTCAATGAAGATTTGATAGCATTTTCTAAAAGAGCAGAAGAAATCAATAGAAGTTTCTCTGCTAATACCAGCTCATGCTATTCTTTCCTTCCTATCGATACATTCATGCTTCTTCCTTCTCTGAAACAGAGTTGTTGGGTTTTTTCTTCCTATATTCACTCCTGAATCATTGTCTCATGCTGCTGCCATATAGTCTAAAAAAACCTGAGCCACAGAGTTTACCTGTGACAGGTCACTCAGTTAAATATCAATGCTCCTGTCCTATGAAGAGCCTGAAATCTCACAGCAGATAAATCTCAGGCAAATAATACTGAACCCAAGCAATCTTTTCTGAACTTTCCTACCTCAGCCCACCACCAGAGCACATCTCAAGACCCAGAATCAAAACATTTAGTGAGAGAGGCAAATCTTACTATTTCCATTTCATAGGTGGCACCATAGACACATGTTGATGCAAATTCATCACAGTTGCCACAAATACTAAGTTCTCAGCACACCAGAAAAGTGCATGGCTTTATGTGATCTTAGCAACTTCTGATTTGGGTTCTATATTGGAGTCTATCCTACAAGGCTGGACAGGACAGCTAGAATTGCCTGGTGGGGCTTATGACCTCAGTGCCTTGGGCTCTGGTGTATGAATGCCCATGAGCCTGGACAGGGAAGGCAGAAGCACACTGCACAATTCTGGTTGTATTACCACTCATCTGCTAAGAGGAGGATATCTGGTGTTTCCCAAAGATGGCTTTCTATTCTCTGAAGAGCAATGAAGCAAATATTTCCATACACATAGAGTAATATAACACACCCATGATGAACAGGAGTTGTCCAAAGATGCAAAATTAATGAGGGGTGGAAGCAAGGTGTGTTTCTTACCGTGTCTTGGTCTTGTTGTTGTTCCAAGAATGCAGAGAACTCTAACATCCAAAGTTTGGAGCTAGCAACCCTTCGTCCTTGCCAAGCTGGTGCTGATGGGGAAGGTGAGAGGCCAGTAGGAGACTCAAACCCTAAGCACACAGGATTTATAGAGCAATAATTTAGAAAAAAATGGCAATAGATTTCCCATAGAGCACCTACTGTCAAAACTGACTCTTTTTTTTTTTAATGGCTTCATTCATCATGCAAAAATATCATTCAAAAGGTCCTCAGTCTACCTGTACTCTAAAAGGCTTGTCAGCCACCCTCATGCCAGGGATCATGATGTAAAAGACAAACTACCCAGGTCTGACACCAGAGAAAACATGTTCAGCAATTTTAAGAGGACTTGGACAGAGCCCTAAAGGAGCAGTGAAATAAACTGTTCAGTATGAGAGTGAGGTGTCACCATTAATCTCTCAAACTGGGGAAGCTGAGAAGGAAAAGACATTAGGAACGCAATCATTTTATGACAGAGAACAATGTTCTAGAGCATGAAGCATGGTGAAAGACCAGTAGAGATATATTAACTTTTATTTTCTGCTGAGCCAGGAGGAAAAAAAAACCCAACACAACCAATATAAAACAGGAAGAAAAGTTTTGTAAAATAAAACAAAATTTAAAAGCTTCAGCTCTCTCAGTAAAAGGATGAGAACAGGTAATAAGAGGAAATAATATAAACTTTGGTTTTGGCTCATTGAAATGTTTCAATAGGTTTTGTCTTTTTTAATTAACTTTTAAGATGTTTAGAGTGTGGGCTGTTTTTGAAGTTGGAACACAATTTCAAAGGAAGGAACTACATTTCCTTACCTACCTGGTATTGGAAGCGGAGGCTGTACAGCATAAGGTTGTTGAGAGAAAGGTTTCACGCTACAGAAGCACACAAAGAGAGGTGGTTAATAACAAACCAACCAACCAAAAAAAATATTCTTCACCAACTATTTGCACACATTAGATCAAGTATTTCCCCTCAGGGAGAAAGTGGCATAAGAGTCTTTTGGAAATTATCTTCCTGTGTGGGCAAGAGAGTGTCATGGGCAAAGACTCAGAAAGCAGCAATAGGCCAGGACTGGACATATTAAGACTTCCCTGCAGGTGTTCAGCAGGCTCTACCTCCAGATTTGATTTTCTGAGATCCCTATCAGCCTCATAATACACTGGTGCCCATTTATTTATCCTTTCAACTGCAAGTGAATCCTATCTATGCAAGTGGATATAGGTCTGGGCCGGATGCCTCTCAGACTTTTAGGCCCAAATTCAGTGACATTCAACACCCACAAGTAAACACAGCTTTCAGGAAAGCTCAGCTCCATTTTAACACTACTATAAGAGAAATGAAGGTCTTAGCGTTTCACAGATCTTGTAATAGCTAAAGGTGTTCCTCAGGCAGCAGAGGAAGCAGCAGAAGCACCTGCTTTGGATGCCCACATGAAGGAATACTTACTCCTGGGAAGATCCAGCTTGGCCTGGCAATGGTCCTTGCCAAAACTGCAAGAGAACAACAGACAGGCAAAAGTCACCACTCCTAATTAGGACAGAGATGAAAAGGAAGGGTTGCCCTTTTCTGAGGACACAAACTGCAAGCTCACAGACCTTTAAAGATGCAAATGAGTTCTCTCTTCTTTCTACGTTCCTGGTTTCATTCTTGAGGAGGTGCTGACTGGTCTTTTTTATTTTTCATTCTGCACACTACTACTACTGACATGCAAGAAACTGACCCCAAAATGATCTTTAATGTTAAATATTATACATGAACCATGTGACTCCATCTCCAAAGCTTTTATGATGCTCACTCTCTTGGAAGGACCATTTTCCTCAGAAAAGTTCCACAGGAGTTATTTTGGCAGGAATCAAGGCTCAGCAGATGCTCACTAGGCCCAGCTCATAGGTACGGGGATGCTGACAGACCTTCCCTATTAAGGATTTTATGTAAGAGCCATCTAATCAAAGTGCTGAGAATAAGATTGGGAAATATAGACTTGAGAAAGGGCCGTGATGGCCCAAACAGATTTATTCCAAAAAGATGCTGGACTAAGACAGTGATACAGACACATAAAAACATTTCAGACAGATGAAAATCCACAGGAACTGATTGTTCTCTCCTCTGTATCATTAAAAAAAATACACATAATAGAACTCTATTGTTTTACATCAGTGTGAGCAAAGAATTGGACAAAACTGTTGGAGCCACATGACAGATTTATTCCACAGAGACAAGGCCTTTTGGCCCATTTTGTCTCAGTTCTCAGGATCTTCATGAGCAGGTCCCAACATTCTTTCAAATACTCAAGTGTCTTCTCAAAACTCCACCAAGACACTAATCCACTCACCCCAGAAACAGCAGGGTAGGCTGGTCGTGGGAGACCAGGCAAGGCCATTTTACTATGGAAGGCAGTTGCAGAGATAATCTGGGCAGATGACATTGTAGCCATACTCTGCATGGCTTTATCTTTAGCTGCCTGATCCTATGAGCAAGGGTAGAAACAGAAAAAAACAGGATTATTATAATTATTAACAAGTTGCCAGCTTTAATGCTCTACATAACCAGAATTTTCACCAGCTTCTCTATTTGGAACAAACATCTCTGAATTCCTGTGCAGCAAGTTCACCAATAACTGTCCTAAGAACTCTTTAAGGCTGTAATGCTGTCACTCATTACTATAGCTTCAGATGTGAATAATCATGCTTTCTGAAATACTGGTTTAAAAGCTGCTAAGCATTTATCCTTTCTGTCTCAGGGATTTCAACCACACAGCTGAAAAGTTTTGTTGTGGAAAGTACACCCCTAGTTGTCTCTTGTGTTTTAATAATTGGTAAGAATCTTCATTTGGAAAGATTCTTGATTACAAAAATTAACCCTCTGAGGAAAAGGTTGCAAAAAGAGATCATGATCACTGCAGAAATGACTACCTCAGTTTGGGGACTGCATTAGTCTCAGGTAGAGTTTCTCATTTTATCCCCATCTTCATGGAAACCTTCATAATCTGCAGGGCACATACGCACATATTTGTATTTTAACAGGACTGTAGATTTACACACATTCTTACAGGCAATGACAGTGCCACAATTAGTGGGTCTGAGTACATACAAAACAAACAGCATTCTTTCTTTACTCTTTCAAGGAATAAACAGACAAAGAGAAGCATTTCCCCGCATTCTGCCTTCCCTCCTACATCCCCTACAATTAATCTTCATCCTTCAAACATTCCACATTTATCTGTGTCATTAAAATTACCACAGAAAACCCACAGATTAATTCACATCTTGAAGAAACTGCTGAAAGAGGTACAGCACAGCAGCCCTTGCTGTTCTCTTCAGGAATTCTCACTTCCCATTTGCATTCACTGAACTGCACTAAGTTCTCACCCTTAGGCCTTCATTCTTTCTTACCCCTTCAACTAATCTAAGGTTTTCTGAAGTTCAAAGCCCAAATATCCTAATGTTTCAAAAAAAAAAAAAAAAAAGTGGAAGAGGCATCCTCAAAAATCTCAATAATAAATGTTAATGTTCAAGTGGAATGATCAGTAAAAATGGGCAAAACTTACACCTCTTCTTTCTTAGAGCATCTGTGACTCCTGTTAGTATCATTCAAGTGCATGGAAGGGAAACATTTTAAAGGCTGAGAAAGTTCCTAATATCCTCCAAAGATATGGAAAACATTTTCAGAATCCAGTTTAAATTAAGCTTTAGGGAATAATTGAAGGATTACCTACATTTTCTTAAGGGAAAAATATTATTTTGTAGTTTTTTCTTAATATATATAAGGACTATTTCCCATGTGCCATTGCATAAAAGGTTTTTTTTTCCTTCCCTTATTTTCTCACTGGAAAAACTGTATTTGTCTACCTGAGTTTATGGGGAAGATGCATTTACTTGTGGAGGTATTAAATTTAAAAGAAAATGTAAAATAATTAGGGAAGTATTTTACCTATTAACTTCTGCTGTGTTTTTGTTTTGTATAAGTGCTTGACAAAGTAATAAAAAGAGCATGTTTTTAGAAAATATATCTCCTTTCTGTTTCAACTAACAGTTCTGTACTCATTTCAAGTGTTTTCCAGTATAAAAAGATTTTAAAAAAAGCAAAAAAAGGAGCGATAAAAACTTTCCCCAAACCATTGCAATGTTTGTATTTTCTTTCATTACTCTTAAAACACATAATAATGATGATGGTAATTATGATGATGATAATAGCACCATATCACCATGATTTCCCACTTTTTTCTTAGTGCAGATGATACCTATTAGCCACCCAGGGCATGGAAAAACTACTCACTTTTGGGAACAGAGTTTTCTTCAAGTTTTACTCTATTTCTATATCTTTTACAGACACACAGTTTGTGTGGAGATGGAAAGTCATCATGTAGCTGCTCTGATCACTAGGATATAAACACGAAAACATGCACTTGCTATGGAAAATGAACAGTGACAGGAGAACACACAGCTGTCAGCAGGACCTTGGAAGAAGGGCAGCAGTTTCTGTGATTTCATTTCCTTGCTCTATGGAAATGGCCAGCGAAAGCAAAGAAGTAAATGAGTTGAATCAGTGCTCCTGACTCGCCACTGCAGGCGGAAAGGAACAGGCTGGTCCTGGGGAAGGGTTCTCTGCAGGCAGCTGGGCAGAGCTCACAGCATGGCCTGGGTGGTGTAAAAGGACAGCAGCCAATGGCTCCATGGAGCTCCCCGAGACACCTTCGTTCCCTGAGAACAAAACCGGCCAGCTCCTGTGAGCTAAGTGGAGACGGGCTCGGCTGACTGGCTTTTCAATCATGCCCAAGCCCAGAGCTGTGACACACAAGGAACAGAATCAAGGTTACAGATGTAAGCAGCAGTGAGGCTTTTAACACCCCGGGCAGTTGTTGTTTCCTGCTCGTTCTAACTTGCCTCTCCAGCAGGCCTCCACCTGAACTGACCACTTAACAGCACCACAGGTTTCAAGCTTAGGCAGCCCTACCCGGGTGCACTGAATTAGATGGTTGTAATTTGTGCCTCCTTCTCTTTATCAGAGCAGTTGGAAACACAACAGGCTAATAAAAAGACAGTGCAGCTTTCTAAAATGGGGCTGGGATGTGGGGGGTGCTGTCATGGCTTAGAGGTAATCACTGCTTGCAATAGAGCTGCGTGCACGTCAGCACTGGGCAACACCGAGTGCCAACAGCTCACACACAGCACAGTCCATCTGCCCTGGTGCCCAGTGAGGAGCTGCCCAGGCAGCCAAGAGGAAGCACATGCTTGCAGCCATCCCTCAGCAGTCAGGGATGGACTGAGCTGTCATGGTTATTGTCACCTGAAGCATGGAAGATCAGGGAAGCAAAGTCTCTTTTCCTTCCAGATTACTTATGGCCATACCAAACAGAAAGGTCAGCATTCACCTTCCTTCTCTGGCTGTCTCAGCAAAACATAACAAGGCCCAGACCTCAAATCCTGCTCAGCAAGCCCTTTCTGGATAGCTCACATTCTAACAGGGGACAGACACCCTCTTCTGCAATTGTCACATACAAACTTGACCTTCTCAACATTTCTGGCAATTCAGTCTGAGCACATAAACCATTTCCCCACATCAAATCTGAGTGGAAATAAATGTCAAGAGGTTCATTAGGGTGATATTGGAGCTTTTCCTATGGAAAGGAAAACACAGCTTTTCTCAAGCAAGTATTCAACCATTTTCTCTTTCACGTTAGCACTAGCCTCTTCAAATCAGGTCTGAATTAATCAAGGAGAAAAGTCTATTCAGTTGGCACCACTTTATCTGAGAAGATGCCAGCTGGCTTTATTGCTTCCTCTCAGTGGACAACTCCACATCACCACCTCTGTAGAAGTGGAGCTTGTGCTCTAATAACTGCAAAGCCACCTTTTCCCAAGGCCACCACAACACCAGCGACTGCTTACTGGTCAGCATTTGTAACCATAAACCCTTCCTTCTCAGGTAAACACTCTCTGCACACTCCTAAGTGTCTTTCAGATTTGAATGACAAGAGCATGAAACCGGAGGTAGAAATAAGACACGTGAAATTAAAGAAGTTATTGTTTCTTTATTCTTTAAATAGAATTGCTCCAGACGTCACAGAGCTTCAACAATAATGAATGTTTGCACAACATTTCCTGGGAAGAACCTTTTCCTCTCCAGCTTACTAGTTTAGTGACTAATCTCAGGCTTTTTTAAGGCTATTCAGAGAGGGAATAGCTGACCTGGGGGGGGGCTTGTGGATATGCTAAGGGATATCCATCATACCTTGAGCTTGGCTTGGATCTCTCTAGCTTTCCGCCTTGCCAGGACCTGGATGTGACTAGATACCTGCATTGAAAGACAGAATTCCGTGTTCATTCCAGAGGAATTCTTGGTAGCCTCTTGTAGAAGTAAACGTACTTTAGGCAGTTATTTAGGGCTGGGGGTAGGAGGGATTGGAGGTAACAATGAGCTGCTTTTCTGAACATAACTCCAGTGCTATGAAATAGGGTTTCATGGAGGGACAGCAAAGATGGGCCATCTAAGGCAGGTCTAGGCTGCTCAGTGCTTTGTCCAGCATAGCCTGGATATTCATTCCCAAATTACAAAGATTCCTTTTTCATCTCGTCCATCAGGCATTTTCAAAATCATCATTGCTGTCTTGTCTGCTTGGGCTGAACAAGGAATCTTCATGCAGAGAACCACTGGTGTTCCCTGAAACACTCATTAGTAGGCCAAGCAAATAAAAACATGCTGTTTTAACAGTAGAAAAACTTGTGGATCACAATATGATTGGCAGACATGAACATTATAAACCTCCTGTAAAATGCCTGAGCTGGCTCTTCCTGCCATTCTTATTAACCAGCTCAGCACAACAACCTCCTTCCAGCAAAGTCAGAAACTACCAACAAGTGAACAGCAAGAAATTTGCTCTTACTAGCCCTCATAATCTCTAGAGGCCCAAAGAAGCTAATCCTTACAGGGAAAACTGTACACTTACCTGTTTCCTTGTGCGTGTTTTCCCTGTTCTCAGCTTAATATAGCGGGCAATCAACTCATTTCGGCCTGGAACAGAGAAATAATCAAATACCAGTTCAGAAAGCAATGACCCCAGTGAAAAAGACAGATCAGCAGCAGGATGATTCTGTCACACTCTCTTCTTTTTTAGAAAGGAACTTACTAGTGCACATGGTAGATGTCTCAGTTTCAGGAGCAGTCTCCTATAACATCCCTATAGGCAAACTGACAAAGTTTTGGCTAGGAAATTGGACAAGGGGCTTGATGAAAATTGGCTGAACGGATGGATGAACGATGTTGACAATAAACTGACAGTGAGGCACCAATTCACCCTTATGGCAAATCCCAATTGCCAACAGGTCAAGGGAAGTGATTGTTCAGCTCCACTCAGTACAGCTGAGGCAGCATGTGGAGTACTGAGTCCAGTTCTGGCCTCCTCAGCATGAGAAAGGTGTGAACATACAGGAGCAAGCCCAGCAAGAAGTCAGCAAAAATTATTAAGAGACTGGAGCATCTGTCCTATGAAAAGAGGCTGAGAGAACTGGGTCTGTTCAGCTTGGAGAAGATTCAGGGGAAGTTTTAATCAATAATAATAAAATAAATACCTGATGGGAGACAGTGAAGGGAAAAAGGGAGCCACTCTCCTCTCAATAGCACCCAGTGGTAGAACAAGAAACAACTGACACAAATTAACACACATGAAATTCGGTCTAAAAACAATTGGGGGCAAAAAAAAAGAAAAAAGGAAAAACCCAACCTTTTTTACTCTAGGCTGCCCAGAGAGGCTGTAGTCTCCATCTTTGGAAGACAGCCACAACCTATTGGATACTGCTTGAGCAGCAGGGCCAGACTAGGCAATCTGAAGAGATCCCTTCCAACCAAAAGGAGCCTGTCATTCTGTGTAACTAAGTCCAAGAAAATAAACAATGGGCAAGTACATGGAAACAGCTACATAGAATTTATCAGTGTGATATGATACAGTGAATTACAAGTGCTTTTAGGCTCCTGCAGGCAGACTATCCAGCTTTATTACACTGGCTCCCATGTATCACATCTAAGCAGTCACAGATCTTATTGTCTTTTTGGAGGTGGAGGAATTAAGAGCATAAACAGAAAGGCAGCAGTTACACATCTGAACTCCAGGCTGGTTCAAAGCAGAAAACATGACAGGAAAAGAGCAGGCTCTGCAAAATAATACATTTGTGGTGACCAGAGTAGTGTCAAGATAGTACTGCAATAAAAAGTTTGGAGTAGGAACTGCAAGGCTGTGAGACATCTTGATATGGCTGCAAGTGTTTGCAGAATGAAGCAGGAATGAACCGGGAAACAAAGCCACAGCTCTTGTGAAGTTTATTTATAACAGAATTATAAAATCCCAGTATTGTCTGTGGAAAACTTGTGGGCAAAGAACTTGTATATTAGGATATCACAGACATCAAAAGGCAAGCAGTGAAATCAGTATTAAACTGTAAGTATTAACTATTCCAGCAGTTAAATACTCCATGAAATAACTGTAACTTGTTTTTATTTTAAACTCTTCTTTCACTCAACCCTGAAATAAAGTGTGTGCAAGGAAAGACTGCTGAAACTGACCGCTCAATCCTTTAGGGAAGGACTGGCAAAGTCCTTAATTCTGTCTGTTTCTGAAACAGAACAATGCAAATGTCCATGAGTGCAGTTAGGCCGTGTTCATGAAACACAACCAATGCATACACAGGGATGGGAAAGCGTTTTACATGTACAGATCTTAATCTTTCCCTAATGGTGTCATGGTAGCAGCTCCCCTTATTCCCCTGGGAGAAGAAATAGGTCTGTAGCTGAGAAATCAGCTCCAGCTCCTGTAAACACAAATTAGGAGCTGTGTCTGTGCCAGAAACACAATGCCCTGCCATGTAAGCACTGACCTCTCCAATTCCCACAGTTTCTGCTTTAGCAGTGACGTGCCCAGGAGAGTTTGGTGGGAGCAGATGCTGTTCTGCCACCTTCCACCTGGCTGCTCTTCCAACACATGTAAACCATTTTCACAAAGCCGAGACCAATTACTAAGGACACATATCCACACCACCTTCCTCTAGTGCCAACAACAACATTTACGGCTTCTCAAAGCTTCCATCTGTTTAGACATGGATCCAAGCTGAATAGTAAGAAACAACTGAAGTGATTCTTCTCAGACAGATGCCGACATGTAAGAAATTTCAGAAGGACTGTTTGACACACATCTGAAATGGGAAATGTGCTGAAGAAAACAAAGCACTCAAACCCTATTATCTATACAGAAAGAAGAAAAATTTTGTTTCAACAAGAGGACCCTTTGAGAGGTAAGGGGAATGATTTAATGGAAAAGAGAGGAAAAAGTAGCCTTGAGAAGAAGTGGATGTGGAGAATTTCAGGCTAACTTTTAAAGGACTCATATCAGGCTATACTGAAAATTTGAACACATGGGAAGTCTCAAGACACTGGCTCAATTATGGGTCATCCTTGCAAAACTAATTTAAATGGATTCTCAACCAGATACAATAAATTTTATGGAGCAAATTCATATGTATAGAGTGTCTAATTAAGTAAAGAAGTTACAGAGGCTGAACAGTCTGACAGAACACTATTCTGTTTTAGCAGTAAGGGGCTGCAGGGGTAATTGGTACGAGAGGATGCAATGAACAGCTCTGTGCTAGGCACAGCCAATTCCAGACACCACCAAACTGGATGAAAATAACAATCAACCTATCAAATTCTCAACCAGCCAGAGGAGCACAAGCTACCTTTGCTCAAACATATTTTGGAAAGGGCCAGAGCCAGTAGGGACAGGAGACACATGAGGAGACACAAAAGGAACTACAAGAGGAGACATGAGAATGCACAGGAGAAATACAAGATATGTAAAAGGATGAATATTGAGAAAAGGTGACGTGGTAGGGGACATTCCTGGGGATGTGGCTGGAAAAGTAATCTTGGAAAAAGTTGCTCCATGACAGAAGAACACTTCAAGGCAACTGCAGCACCCATGCCAGAGCAGAGACAACCCTGAAAGGACTGCAAGCCCATTGAAAACCCATGCAGAGATGAGAAACAGCTAGGAACAAGGAGCAGCAGAGGGGAAACAGAACAAAACAAAAAAACAAAGCAGGAACTGGCAGAAAGAGACCTTTACACAGTGATGCCAATCTCCTGCGTCACCCAGCACCTCATCAAAGGAATTAAGAGGGACTGAGTGTTAGAGAGAACAAAAGAAGGGAAACAGAGTAGGAAGCAGGGAGGAGAGACAATAAACTGTAGTCATGCCTGGGAAACTGGGAGGTATTTCCATAAGTGTGCATTTAACTGTTTGTCTTTGACAACAGCAGCAGCAAAAATTTGCAAAGTTCTCTCAGGCCATGTACTTCTCTGAAAAAGCCTAGTGGGAGGGGAAATTGTTCTACAAATTTCAGCTATTAGATGCCAGTATAGAAATTCTCTAGAAAGAAACTCTACACAGAGAGCATTTAATTGTGGCATGGATCATCAAAATTTCCGGTTTTAGAATTCACTTCCCACTTGCTAATATCTCTCATACAGTCTTCCTGTTCCATAACTGTGTCCTCACAGTCAGGTTAAAACAGAAAAGTGGCAGGTTATATTAAGGTAATAAAGATACTGGTAGCAAAAAAAGAAAACAAAAAGGTAAGCCCAAACAAAACACCACACAAAAAAAAAAATACCAACAAAACAAACAGATCACTCTACAAAGACATTCATCACAGGGATTACTAAATATAGAACTATGTAAATTGCCAAGCCCAGTAAACTGCAGCAAGGCAGTATTAAATTACCATTAATCAAAACTGCAAGAGAATCAAGTCCTAAACGTCTTTTGTGTTTCTTATCAGTAGTTAGATGTAAGCAGGTATTATGTGGCTGGAAGTCTGTAGGCTCACAGGCTCTGGAAGGCACTTTCTTTGTTTCACAACTCTTGGCTGCAGGGTCAGCAAAGACCAGCACTCCTCACTTGGCTGGAACAGGCAGAGCTGTCATAACCCGTCAGATGGTTCATTTTTTAGAGCCATGTAAAGTGTCCCTCAGTAATCTGATCATATGTTGTGTTCTTAGAATAACTCCCGCTGAGGTCTGCCTCGGTCATCAGAACCTGCCAACAGTTGTGACTCCTCTGTTGAAACCACGCATTGGGTTTCACCAAGCTCCAGCCAACATTCCAACTGTGGCACAGCACCTTTCTCCTCCCCCGAGCCTTCCCCTTGCAAGCATGGCACGAAAGAAAAGTAGTCAAGAAATCCTCTCTCATGTTCTTTACCTCTCATTCTTAACAGATCAATTTCCAAGGGCAGCAACTTGGCTCCCATTCCATCTTACAGTAAATTGCAAAATTTTGCATTCAGTTGTTACGCAGGAAGGAATTGCTAAGAGAAGTGAATGAGAAGGCTTTTGGATTCTCCATTCTACACCTTTGAATGTAACTGCAGAGAAGTGTCTTCCTGTAAGGAAGAGGGATAATCGAAGAGAATGCCCATCACCACAGAAAGAATTTTCCAGTCTTACCTCAAAGCTCCATGCTATGGAAGTGTTTGTTTCTTGGCAGATTCTCTATCTTTCTGTACCCACAGCAAACATTTACAACTACCTGTAAGTAGTTCTGTAAGAGAAACAACTATCCAGAAGTATCCAGTTAAAGGTTTATCAAAGTGAGGTCAAGAAAGCCATCTCAACTCTCATTCCAATCTCTTTGTGTCACTCAATGATATCTCCTGGGACATGACTATCTCCTTAAACTTATTTAATTAACTGTTGGTTACAATCAGCATTAACATAATGAACTGTGTGCATCAGACAAATAAATCTAGACAAAAGAGAGAAGGTAAGGACACCTCATCTGTCCACCAAATGTCAGTATTTCTCTCTGCATACAAAGCAAAACTAACTGCCAACCAAGTCTTACCAGAAAGACACTTTTTAGACCAAAGCAGTGTGTGGTGGCATGTCCATATGGCACTAACTGCCACTGGGGTCTGCCCCATCCATAGCTCCCTGCACAGCCTTATTTCCCATCTCTCATTCCA